ACACAACCGTCTTTGCTGTAGTAGATGTCATCGTTAAGTGTCGAAGAGCCGTTGACGCAGCGGGGGTTCCAACCTGACTATCTATAGGGTGTCCTATTCAAAACTTCGAAGATACGACGACTGTTGCAGCGTTGCCGGCCGCCTAGCGGCGGCCGGAAATTTATTTAGCCTAACCTACATATAAAAGATAACTTACGGTAAGGCATCTAAATTCCAACTCCCGGATAAATTGACCAGATCATTTCAGCAAATAGATCGAGTCCTTTCTTCTGCACTTCTCTTCGCCACAGATACTCACAAAAGTGATAATTTAAACTATTTTCACGGACTCCACCCCTCTGCATTCGTAATCTTAATGGTCGCCACTGACTCTCAATCGCTTGTGTGTTAGCTCCACTTTCGGAATCTATGAAATTAATAGAATGATTCACAGACAAATGTTGGTAGCCTTCGTTTTCCAAGCAATCATAAGCTTTCCAGCAATCCGAATAAATCATTGATCCTGGAGCGATATGTTTTTTTGTTATTGGGATCAGTGTTTACCGATTTCTTTTGTTGTCCGGACATACTTCTAAACGCAATTCTTTAGTTGTGACATCCAAAGCGCCAAAGATCCATCGCCCTTCCACAACGCGGCCTCTTTCATATTTCCGACGGCCAAATTTCATCTCGTCTATCTCAACAATTTTCCCAGGCCCGCCAATTGGGCCATTGTTGCTGACAATCCTGTTAATTGTTAACATGCAGACTTCCTTGCAGTACGAATAGAGGTCCGCGACCGTTTCACGTGAAATGTTTTGTCGGTCTGGACTTTTGATTTTGTTTATTGCGTCTTCGTATTTCATTCCACATGCAAAATAAAAACTCAATCTTAAAATACCTTCCATACTTATATTATGGAATTCAAACCATGTTTCGACGGCCGCGGTCCGTTGTACGGAGTGCTTATGGCACCTCCACCGTTTCCCTATACAGTAAAAGCTAGATATATGCAACAAAAGTTTGGCTGGATATATGCAACATCGCTATCCCCTCCACTTGGGGGGATCCCCCTCAGCCGAGCCGGGCCGCTCGGCGAGGAAACCGTGTAATATGATCCGACCGTAATATCGGTGTGACTAATACTAACTGAACGATAAAACTTTTTTATTTTTAACTTTTTCTTAATGAAACTTTTACTAACGCATTTGTGAGATTTTTCTGATTAAAATGGTACCAAACACGATATGATTTGAATTATATTTATTTATTAAAATAATAATAAAAGTGCACATTATAATACGTATTGTCATATATTGGAAAAAAATAATGTTGTTAGGAACATGTTATAATAATGTTGTTAATTATGATGTTAGGAACAGCTCGTGATTTCCATGAAACCGGACAGTTTCTTCCTATTGAAAATTACAGTAATTTACAAGCTAACAGTAATAACAGAATGATAATAGAATAAATAAAGAATAATAATAAAATAAACAATATAGAATTGACATCTCGGCTACATATGTATAAGGCAGGCTGCACACCAAAGATACATCAAACACGCAACATGCAACATGCAACACGTTGCATGTTCTGTACGAACGTAGAATAGGTATCGCGGTACGTTACAAACGATTTGTACGAACGTAGTGTAACGTCCCGGAATTATTATCGCGAGTACGCTACTGCACCGACTGCGTAGGGAGAGCGGTTCCCTATAAGAAGGCGTCTCGTAAATAATTATATAATGAAGGGATCATAGGTTCGGGTGGTGCGCGGTAAAGGAGTGAAATCCAACGTTAATTCCTTTCTCAAAAATCGTAATGATGTTTATTCAAGAAAAAATGTAATGTGTTTGTTTATAATATGTGTATAAAAAGAAAAGGTAAGTAATTATTTGAGTTATATAAAAAGGTAAGTAAAAAAAAATGTAGTGAAAATAATATAAAGAATTAATGTAATCAGTGTACAAATGTTGCGCCCTGTTTTGAAATACAAAAAAAAAGGAAAATTAATTATATTAGTTACAATGAGTGCGCCCTGTATAAAAAAAAATACAAAGAAAAATAACAATCGTGTTTGACCTAAAATAAAATACAAAGAAAAGATTTAATTGATTAGTGAACGCGTCTCTAGATACGATTATAAAAATTCTAAATCTATAACTTGAATTTATAAAATAAAATTATTCAAATAAATTGTTCGATTGTCGGAAAATTGGCGTGGATCCGTTCCGACACTGTAGGAGCTAACCCGTTCGGCCGCAGTACGATTTCTGGGCAACTTAGCCGTCACTGATAGGCCGCATCCAAGGAGCTTCTGCTTTCGCTCGCTCGTTAAGCTTGGTTGCGAACACTGCAGGATGGTATCGTCGCACAAGAGCCAGTGTACTGATAGGCCGCATCCAAGGAGCTTCGGCTTTCGCTCGCTCGTTAAGCTTGGTAGCGAACCTGACACATATGAGAACCGCTGCGAACCGGTGGTCGAGCGCTCCGGGTCTGACGCGGAACCTTTGCCGCCTCGCCGACAAAAGAATCTAATCTACTGGAAACCTATGTAGTAATCGTATCATAGATCCGTGTCGGACTACGATCAGAATCGAAGTGAAATAGCTCCTCGCGGCACGCTCGTATTTATACCCGAGATTTGCTTACGTAGCAGTTTTTTCTATACGCGTTTTCGATACCGGAAGTGTTTGAACTTTGACCGGAGTGTACGTGACTCCGCGCGTATCGCTGTCTCTGTCTATGCGTAGTGCTATCTTTCTTTATTCTGCGCTCTGTTCCTACCTCTTTCTACGTGTTATTCCTATCTCTATCTATGTGTCCTACGTCGATCTTTTATCGACGCGGTAGAATTATCGACGCGGTAATTATCGATGTACATTTTTGAGTATAAATTTTGTTAAGTATAAATATAATTAAATGCAACATTCTTTTCCTATTTGTTAAATATGAATATAATTGTCAAGCTGAATCATGTTAATACAATAATAATAAAAAAACGAAGTGTTATAACTTTGATTGTATAAAAACTAAAAAAAAACTAAATTTTAATAATTAATAATGATGGCTTTTTATTTATTCTTCTTCCTGCGGGATGTTACAGTAGAATAGGTAACGCTGCACGGTACAAACGATTTGTACGGACACAGAATCGATACCAAGACTGGATATATGCAACGTTTAAATGCCCAGAATCGACACCTCGGCTGAATATATGCAACATTAAATGCCCAGAATCGACACCTCGGCTGGATATATGCAACGTTTAAATGCCCAGAATCGACACCTCGGCTGGATATATGCAACGTTTGAAACCCGAGCCGACACCGCAACCGGTTTTCATTTCCAATCCTCCTTTGCTTTTCGCCAACTTTTAACATCAATTTTAGCAAGTAATTATAATTGAAACTATATCGTGTTTGGTACCACTTTAATCACAAAAATCTCACCAATTCGCTAGTACAAGTTTCATTAAAAAAAAGTCAAAAATAAAAAAGTTTTCTGATTCAATTAGTATTAGTCATACCGATACGTTTCGGCTCTTTCCTTTGATCATCGGACCTCTCTCTTTCCACCACTGTCTGTCCTTTTCTACGTTCACGCTTGACTGCTCGTCGCGTGTAACCCGAGATTCGACACCTCGACTGGATATACAGGGTGTCCCAGAACTGGGGTAGGAACGGAAGAGGGATGATTGGTGAGGTCATTCTAAACAACTTTTTCCTTTGCCAAAATGTTGGTTAAGGCTTCGTTTTCGAGTTATTATCGAAAAACACTGGCCAATCAGAGCGCGCCGTTAGCGCGAGCCGAACCACGAGAGTGTTGGGTATGTTCCGCGCGGTCGTGATCAAGTGCATCGGCACCACGTCGGTGTAATAGGATTCGTTGTTCATGAGTAATCAATAATTCGATACAATTATTTTTTTCTTTTTTTTATTCATTATCCGATGCAACTTCTACTCAACGAATCCCATCATACCAACGTAGTGCCGAGGCACTTGATCACGACCGCGCGGAACATACCCAACACTCTCGTGGTTCGGCCCGCGCTAACGGCGCGCTCTGATTGGCCAGTGTTTTTCGTTAATAACTCGAAAACGAAGCCTTAACCAACATTTTGGCAAAGGAAAAAGTTGTTTAGAATGACCTCACCAATCATCCCTCTTCCGTTCCTACCCCAGTTCTGGGACACCCTGTATACAACGCCTGGGTCCCAATGTTTGTTGCATATATCCAGCTTTTACTGTACAGGTAATGTCACTATTATCGAAAGTATCTGTCAATTTCATTAAATGTTTACCATTTTTTGGGCATTTACGCCTGTATGGCAACAATCCAACACTTTGACACCACGAAATACACACATTTCGTAAAACGTAGGAACAAAAGCCAGGTCAAGTGTATTTTTACTTTGTTAGTTTCTACGAACATCCCCTCTCTAATGAAAATAGGACCCACGTCGCAACCGCTAAAGCTAGTAGTCCCATTTCAAGTCAGGCCGTCAAGAAAACCAGAAGAAAAATGTTAAGGACCAGTGCGGAATACTACAACATGATGTACGTTTACGCGCAGTGTAATAGTAACGCGTACGCTGTCGTGCGAAAATATCGCGAAGTTCATGGTGAAGCAAACGTACCAAGTGCGCATAGTTTTCGACAAATGGCATCGCGATTGTATAATACTACGGTCCACAAGGTACAAGTAGGTGCGGGTGCAACACATGAATCCGCAAGATTATATCCAGCGGATTCAGTATTCCAGGTGGTTGTTGGGCGAAATCGCCCGGAATCCATCGTTCTGCAAGTACGTCTTGTGGACTGATGAAGCCCTCTTCACCAGGGAGGGGTGCTTCAATGCCCACAATTCGCACGTGTGGGACGATGCGACTCCGTTGGCGATTCGAACACGAGCAGGACAAGTGTGCTGGTCGGTCAATGTATGGGCCGGAATTTGCGGCGATTTTATCGTTGGGCGGTACCTTCTACCTGATAGATTGGATGGCCCATCATACAGAGTGTTCTTAGTACATGTCCTTCCGAATCTTGCGGAGGTAATTCCTCCCGAAATTCGGAGGGGCATGTTCTACCAACACGATGGTGCACCTGCACATTTCGCCACAAATATCCGGGCATATTTAGACGAAGCCTTTCAGGACAGGTGGATTGGCCGCGGCGGTCCTGTTGCGTGGTCCCCACGATCGCCGGATATGAATTCGCTGGATTTTTTTTTCTGGGGATGTTTAAAAGTACGTATGCTAATACAATTTTTAACTTACTTTAAAAATATTTCTTGACATGTACGTACACTTACTCACTATTTCATATTTTTATTAACTATTTCAGAGCCACGTCTACAAAGTTGCCATTTCCTCGCCTGACGAACTAGTGGCCCGAATACATGGCGCGGTGGCTTTAATCACACCAGAAATGCTGCAACGCGTGCAACAAAACATAAAAAAACGTATGACTGCATGTGTGGCGGCAAAAGGGGGATACATCGAACCCCATTTATCGTAATAACAATTTGAGACAATCGGCCCCTCTCGGGGCCACCCATTATTTAAACGTAGGAAGAACTACGGAAAATATCTGAAACAAGTAAATAACAATGTGAAAAAGTGATAGTGAAAAATTCTGTGAAAAGTAATAGCGACCGTTCAGTGAGTTCAATGATCCCGCTTGGAAATCAGCTGTTCATTTTGGCAAAGGAAAAAGTTGTTTAGAATCACATTGTCAATCATCCCTCAAACGTTGATCACGTAGTCATTGGACACCCTGTATACCACCTGCTTCAATGGTGGAACACAATTTACTCTGCTCAGGTCAGAATATTTGTTGCAGAAATATACTAACTTCTGACACTCCTTGTGTTCACCGAAAATATGACTCTGTACATTTTTCATATCCTCCTTCAAATTTTTTATTTGATCGACTAGTCTGATTTTTTCTTTGAACCGGTATTCTGCAGCTTTTTTTATTCCAGTACGCAGCCGCAGAGCATTGTTTTTTACGACAGCTCTTAGCTCTTTGTAGCGGCCTTTTGCTACGATGTCGTTTATTTTCCTACTGAAATTCCGTAGCAGGTGATTGGTGCATTCTATTTTTCGTATTTGCACCATATACTCTTTATATGGATCATTGTTCAATATTTTCTTGTACACGCTGCTATCGCCATCGGCAAGTAATAGAGAATAAACTAGGCCGTGCATTTCTATCCTGCATTTGAATCCTTCGACGAAAGCAGCACTTTCCATACCTGTTGAACTTTGCTGACGACCCCAGTTTTTGAAACAACGATACTCGCCCGCTGATTCTTTCTTTTTTGCTGCTATTTGGCAAATCATACAAAATTTATTTTTCACGCTGATATACAGCACCTTTTTCGTATGGTATCCCACGATGGCTCCTACGCCAGAAAGAGAATTGTAGTCTCCTCCGCGGTACGATCTTTTCATCCAGCTGCCATCTGCGACAACTGGAATCCACGGTATATTATATCCTGCGAGCACATCGTCTTCTGCAATAGCCAATTCTCTTTCCTCTTTTCCAGCTTCTGCCATTTCGTATTGTGCGGCTACTTCGAAGCCATTGATTATGTCATCCTGACATTTCTCGTACATTCTTTTTGTCATACAAGACATGTTCACGCCAGAGGGTAATTCCTCCAGTTGATTATATTCACCGCCTGTAACCATTGTTGCAGAAACAGCGGCATGGTTGAAAGCCATAGTGCCATCATTCTTTCGAAGACATGGAATGTGTCCTACGTAATTGCACATTTGGCACTGTACATGGTACACTTTTTCCAATTCGTATTGTTGACATCCAACTATGTCAAAATGTTCGATGGCACATCCAATAGTAGAATGTGTTGCAAGATTTTTTATTTCTTCAAAAACCCATGCAAAACCAACAAAATCTATTCCTTTTGAAATTTGCGTTTCCGACTGTTGTGGTTCCGCTTTTTCTACCACCCAGTCGCTGTTGTAACTTGCAACATCTTCATTCGTTTCTTCGTTTATGTCTTCTACGGAAGGTATTTCATCGCTCACTATCAGCTCATTACCTTCCGACACTGATTTAATTGCTTCTTCGCCTTCATTGTTGTTACTTATTTGATTTTCTTCGGCATCGAAATCTACTTCTTCTATAATTTCTTCGATAATCTAAATCTCTTCACCTACGTTTTCTTCATATACTTCATATATCATTGTGGGGTTAATAAATCTTTTTGGATAAACATGGGGGGGGGGGGGGGCACTCGTGGCATCACGTTACAGTACATACATCATTCATATACAGAGTGTGCGGAGAATTGTGGTACAAACAAGAATGGAGTGATTTTTCATACAGAGATGAGTCGAGAATGTAAAGTGACATAGTAAAGTGACAATTTGTGATACAGGGTTGTGATCTTCAGAGAATCAGCTGCGAAGCTCTGGCAGGAGCGTGAACATCCGAAAGGTGCTGAGAGTTGATTGAATGGGTTTTCTCATACTCGGATGGTGTATTTCTATGGCCTGTTACAAGATGTGCAAATGTCATATTATTGCAAAAATGACGAAATAACCGGTATTCAGTCTGTAAACAATTAGTTGAGTGTAAATTGTTGTTAGGTATCTTTAAGTGCTAATGTTTCAACTTTATAAAAACTGTCATTAATATTTCTTGCACCAAGTCACAGATTTGTATTTTTAAACAATGTCACCACTTGGTATAGATAGAATTACTACGTCAAGCTTTAATGATGCATTTACTTATCGTCAATTAAGGGATCATTCTACTTCGACATCTAAAAATTAAGCTATTTAATGCAGCATTTTTCTAAGCAAATTTATCATACAACGAAATAGACTTTTCACCATTTATTACACTGCTCTTATATAATGTAATAGCATTTTTTAAACAACCTTTTTAGTTGCTTAAAACAAAGAAAACATTTTTTTCTTCTAATAAGCCTCCTTACAGAAATTCCCTACAGTGTAAGGCTCTCACCATGGATACAGATATTTTTTTGAGGTGTAATTGCAATACCATTAAGAATGTTCTATTTGAAGCAACTAAAAAGATTAATTATGTAAGAGCAATCTAATAAAAACCAAAACAGTTCATTTTTTTGAGAATAAATGGTGAAAAGTAGCTCAATTTTTTTTATATCGAAGTAGAATGACCCTTTAAACAAATTTTATGAAAGTGTTTTCCGATTTGTACCAAATTAAGTACTGTCCAACGGATTGCACACAAAGGATCATTAAACCGTGATCAAAAAGTTGCCGATATTTGATCCCTTGTAACTATATGATAAAAATTCATATAGCATGTGGTGCTTCTATTTTTTCAATTTAATCAATTTGTCAATTTATGTAACATCTGAGAAATTAAACATACTGTTTGTTTCCCAAATTGTTAAAAATTGAAACAGTGCTATGGACATTAAGAAATTTTAAGAATCAATTCATCATAAATTTGAAGATTGTAGTGACACCTTTAAAATGATTCCTGAAAACTGCTTCGATCGAAACATGTGCCGTCGACATCAGATTAACCCCAAGGTACATTACAAGCTGGTTGCACTGTTTGTCACACTTTCTTTAGTCGCATAGTATGTCGACTATTCACCACCACCCAGGGGTAAATCCCGATGTTAATCGGACCAAGCATGTATGGAATCTGTTAGATCCAACATTGAGGAGTCTCTAAAGAACTCCTATGACACTGCAGTGATTGAAAATTGCAAGAATCAATGAGACAATGCATCAACATGCATTAACGATGCCCAGAAGTAATAAGGCATCGTGGTGGTACTACACATGTGGAGACACACAAAGATACAAGGCGGTTTTGTAAGTTTTTGCTGGTGTACCTGGGGTTGTTGTAACACTGCTGACGCGCTTTTCATTCAAACTTAGATAAAAGATCGTGGCGCAGCTTTTCAGGGGTCATTTTAAACGAGACAATGCAATCTTTTAATTTATAGTGCACTCGGTGTAGAAACAAATTTTTTAATGTCCATAGTGACATTTCAATTTGTAAAAATTTGGAAAAGAAATAATATGTTTAATTTCTTAGGTTAACGTTTGTCGAGCTGGATAAACCGGAGGGCCCACCGGTGAAAGAGTAGTTTTCGTGTAAGAGAAAATACAGCCGAGTGGCCTGGCAACCCAGTAAGACCCGGTGTTTACAGAGCAACTCTTGGACCCCCTCTCATTTTAAGATGAGTCCAGATAGAATTATGTACCACTTTTTATTAGAAAGTTACAAAAAGTCAGATGGAACATTTTTTTATCACATCCTTTAATTTTGTTTGAATAGTGTAGTGGACGTAATAAAAATAATAAGAGCCAAATCACGGCATTTCTGCAAGTCATGACATTGTTCACAAATACGATTGGATTAGCTACATACGTTGCCCTTCAGGTGCACACGTGCTTGATGTTGCTTCTTAGTCGATTCAATGGGAGAGCAGTCTTAAATTTATAATTGAGAATTGACTGAATCAATAATTAAAGACTGACATTCTAAATATATTTCTGATTTAATTCTGCATGGAGAACCACCCCTTTCCCATTTTTATCGCGATTTTCGGTACATATTACACACTCATTCAACAAAATTTTACAATATTTCACAACGTGGTCCAAAAGGCTCCGATTCTTTCAACTAGATAAACGTGTTTATTCATTGTCACGTTGCTATTGCACTGGACACAAATGAAAAACATGTAATATTTCGCACTACTTCGTAACGTTTTCACGACGTTATTGGTCTTCTTTCCCAACTTCAAATGAGACTCTTAGCTTGAGCGTTTGGACTGCCCCTCCAAATATCCCGACAGGACATTAGAAAACGATCGATTTTACTACTACCGCCCCAATTCCTTCATTGATCCCATAGTCCCTGACCTTGACGGATGGAAATTAGTCCTTCCTCCTTCTCTCCGCCAACGAGCCCTTTCCAACAACTACAATTCACCCCAATCCGGACAGCTTGGCATCGACAAGACTTACCACTGTCTGGCTCAGGATTTCCGTGAGCGCAAAAGTATGTGGTGTGGTAGTGTGGTAATCGAGCGATGTGATTAACGGTAACGTAATGCGGGTGTGTCACCGTAAAGCCAGAAAATTTACCCTAACATTTTCTATCACTATTGGGGCTGAAAATGTTGTGAGTTCGGAGATAAGCTAATCCCATACGGGCCCTTTCATCAGATCGTTCACAATAGTATGATAGACGTTGCTATCACCATCGGCAACAACCGTTCTATATATCAAGCCATGCATTTCAATGCTGCATTTGACACCTTCAGCAATAGCATCACTTTCCATGCTACTAGAACTAGCATAACGATTATAGTTTTTATAACATATGATGTTTTGGGGATGTAGCTTTTTGTTCCGCTATATCACATAGGTCAATACCTATGCAGTACTTATTGCGTATGCCGATAAACAGAACTTTTCCTGTGCGGAAACCTACAATGGTACTGACAGCGGAAAGTGAATTATAATTCGTTCCATACGATCTGTTCATCCAGCTACCATCCACTATGACAGTTATGTATGGGATACCATTAACGACTTCATTGTTTTCAAAAGCTAATCGTCTTTCTTTTTCACCTGCTGCCTGCATGGTATGCATTGCGCTTTTCATAAACTCATCTACAAGTTTTTCACGGTACCGCAGTTACGCCGTTTCAGGCATGCAGGACATGTTCAGGGCAGCGCATAATTCTTCTAAATGTGCATAGCGGATTCCGACTGTAACAGTCCCGGTCGTTATTTACATTCATTGTATTTGAATGCGTCGGTTCCGACCAAACAGTAGCTTCGTAATTGCACATTTGGCACTTGAAGCAAAACTGTGTGAGACACCCACCATTTTCTAATCGCGAAAATGACATTCAATGCCTCGCGGATGATTGTCGGACGTTCTATGTTGTAACGTTATTTATTTTTCTACTTTTGCGAAGGAGAATGTGACGCGAGTAATTTGAACGTACGATTTCCCCGACCATTCTCAAGGAGTGGTTCGCGTTCGCTGTGCGCGTTCGCGACGGCAGAAGGAACGGTGAAGTCAGTAATGAGACGTAATTTTGCGGTGTAACAAAATAATAATTTATTCAAAAAAAGTAGTGACTAGAGTGTAGCAAAAGAGCCTATCACAGAATGGTGGAAACACCGCAGACTTATAGCAACTTATGCGTTGAATAATCAACGGAACGCAATTCTCATCTACGAGATGTTCAATAGACACGCTTATCACAAGATATAATATACGAAGGGTTTGACTAGATTGTTCGTCAATGATTTGTACAAAGCACGCAGATCGGATTTGTGCGCGAATCGGAAATGTAATACAAGAATAGGAACGCAAAAGAAAATATTTCAACCAGTCGAGCGACTTTAACGCGAACCAAAAAAACTCAGTCTTCTTTTATACGGAAAAATGATTGGTTGAATAACGCACTTTAATC